AGAAACGGAAATAGGCTCCCAATACATGTGCGAAGTTCATCGGGACCAAATTCAGGCACTATGGGAGAAGGTGGAGAAGAGCTATGAGAGCTGCTCCGATTTGCTAGCCGTGTCCGACGACAATGCGGCCGCCTCGACAGTGCTGGAAGCGAAGTACAGCTACTGTTACTCCGTCTATTCGAGATGTATTGCCCAGCTTCGGGAGAAAATTGCTTCCCAATCCACTCAGGCTCCCGTCAATGTCCACACGCCCGCGCCTACAGGCTGCCGGTTACCTCCGGTGGATACCGAGGTCTTCGCGGGTGATTATCTTCGGTGGCCCACCTTCAGAGACTTGTTTACGGCCATTTACATCCAAAACTCGCGGCTCACCCCGGTAGAGAAGTTGTTCCACTTATTGTCCAAGACAAGTGGTGACGCCCACGCCATTGTTTCTAAGGCTCCGCTTACCCATGAGGGCTTTGTCGCCGCATGGCAAAGCCTCACAGACCGCTTTGAGAACCGGCGGCTATTGGTCAACAGCCAGTTGAAGATCCTTTTCAACATCCAGGCTATTTCTCAAGAGTCCGGCGTCGCGCTGAAGGAGCTGCAAGCTACCATTCAGAGTTGTTTGACAGCCCTAGAAATGTCCTCCGTTAATGTTGAGGCTTGGGACTGTCTCCTTGTATTTATGATTTCGTCAAAGCTCCCCAAGGTCACACTTTCTATGTGGGAGCAATCCGTACATAATAAGGCCGAGATTCCAACATGGAAGGAATTAGATAACTTCCTGACAGAGCGCCATCGCATTTTGGAGGCCATCGACGACGTCAGGCCTAGTGGCTCCGTGCAATTTCCGCCAAGGTCGGGACTTCCTACTGCCCCTGCTCGGAGGCTCACTTCATACGAGACTAGAGTGGTTCCGGGCCAAAAGGGCTGCGATCTCTGTTCGAGGGAGGACCACCCCATTCGCTTATGTCCGCGTTTCCTAGAAATGGATGTAAATGGGCGCTCTGACTACATAAGGAGGAAGCAGTTATGTTTAAACTGTTTTGCCCGAGGGCACCAGCAGCGAGACTGCACGAGCGCCCATACCTGCTCCACATGCCACAGCAGACACCACACCCTCTTGCACCGCGGCAATCCATTCGCAACCGCTCCAAGTCCGCCTACGCAGCTTACCGCTCCAAGTCCGCCTACGTCAACAAACGGCCCCGAGGATCAGTCGAATGTGCAGGTGTGTTTCGCTTCCGGGTCAGGAGCCGTCCTACTGGGCACGGCCCTTATCAACGTGTGCCATTTGGGGTGCACCGTCCAAGCACGAGCACTGATAGACTCAGGCTCCGAAGCGACGTTCATAACGGAACGACTGTTCAACCTCGTCAAGCCTCCCTTCAAGACGATTCAAGCCCAAGTTTCCGGCCTTAATCAAACCATTTCCGCGCAGTCTACTAAATTGTGCCATTTCTCTATTCGGTCGCCGTCAAGACCCGGGCTACAATTAGAGACTGCGGCTTACGTTCTTCCGCAGTTGGCAGGAAATCTGCCATCATATCCGATTTCGCGAGATCGTCTCAAGGGGCTGCCCAATATTACCCTGGCGGACCCAAACTTCTTTGAGAGCTCCCAAGTCGATGTGTTATTAGGAGCTGACATTCTTCCGTCCATTCTCCTCGGTAATTCCAAGGCTAATATCTGCGGGTCGCTTCTCGGTCAGGAGACCATTTTCGGATGGGTGCTGACAGGCCCATTATCTCCAGCCAACCCCCGCAGCGTGTCTGTTTTTTCCGCACGAGTTGCCCGCAGCCTCGGTGACTCACTGGTTCAGGGTTTCGATTCCGGATGCGAGCATAATTCTGTTACGACTCCTTCTTCGATTTACACATCGCATCACGCTGCACGGTGGCAATCAGCTGATGATCCGACTGATCCGGGTCTAATTCTAGATTCCAAGGTCATATTCAGCACGATGTCGCCACGCCCACGCAACGCCCCGTCACTGGAAAGCAGATGTACTCGAGGTACACTATCCTACCGATGCCGAGTCTGCAATGGGAGTCATCCGTTGAAGAAGTGTCGGCGCTTCCTACGCCTTAGTGCCGAGGAGCGGCTCCGAGTGGTTCTCGTGAACCGCTATTGCTCGAGCTGCCTGGCCCACGAGCACTCCGACGGATCCTGTCGGCGTGGGGACGGCTGTAAGACGTGTGGTCAGGATCACCACACGCTGCTGCACCCCGGGACCAAGGAGCACCGGTCACCGCCCACGGGAGACAGTACACCTGGTGTCTCGCTCTCTCGTCGGCCGTCATCCGCCAACTCCCGGCGCGGTTCGGGTGCTTCTCGCCCTGCGTCCGCCATTTTCCGGCACTCACAAGCCGATCCACGGCCATCGACTTCCCGGCGCTCGTCGGCAACTCCTCGGCATTCTTCCGCCACTGGCTGGCAGTCGTCAAGCGCTCCACTGCTTTCGTCCGCCACTCATCGGGTGCCGTCCACCGCTCTTCCGCCCGCGTCATCCGCGCCTAGGCAACTTTCCGCCTCTCCTCGAGGGCCCCCGCAGGACGCGCTAGCTGCGCCCACCCTATCGTCGCTGCTGAGACGGAACAGCGGCAACATCGGGACCCGGATTTTCGACACGGGGGCCTTCATCGACCATGTACGCCCTCTAGCTGCAGTGACGCATAGCTAGCGACGAGGGATATGTTGCAACCCGAGCGATTGCAAGGGGGGGAGGATGTTTACGTGAGGGGCCGGTGTGCCGCAACTTTAAGAGCGCACCCGCGCTGAAGAGCGCACCAGCACTGAAGAGCGCACCCGCGCTGAAGAGCGCATCCGCGCTCGCCCCTCTTTGCGCTCTCGCTCCTTCGCCGGCCGTCGTCGATCGTAGTTTTTCTATTACTTTTTGTACTAGTTTTTAAGCAATTAATCTCATGTAAGCAGCCGAATAAATCTGACCGCGTTATACCATCCGAAAGACGCCCCCGACTTGTATATGTATATGTATATGTATATGTATATGTATATGTATATGTATATGTATGCAAAGTCGCCAGCTTTCAGGCAGGCCAGCAGCTCACTAGACTGCTGTTCGATCTTGCACTCGTGATGCACCTTAACGTCCAGTAGGCTGCCTGCTGCATCCAATATGATCTCCACGTAGAACATGTCTGTTAAGATGAACAGCATCTGTTGATCCTCCATGAACTTGAGCCCCAGCTGCTACGACAGGCTCTTCAGCCTCTCTACCAGCCCATGGCGAGACGTCACCTTCATGTAGTGCTGCAGTTTATCCAGTGCAGACTGGAGCGTGACCTTGCAGAGAGGATCCAGTGGATAGTGCTTCTCGATGAAGTACATCCTTACAGAGTTTTGAATCTCTTCGTAGGTCCAGGGCCACCTTGAGCGCTCGGCTTGGCACCGCGTCCGGGCCGGGAGCTTTGTTGGGGGCTAGATTTCGTGCGGCCGCTAGCACCTCCTCTGCTGTGACCGCTTCCACTGACTCTTCTTCGAAGTCCTCAATAGCCGGGCGTGTTCCTTCTCCTTGACAGCTTGGGAATAGGACGTCTATTATGGCGCTCAGTGCGACCGGGTCTGACGATTTTATACGCCTGTCCCCATGGGTCGTGTTCCGCTTCGTCGCATAGCTTGAGGAACAGCTCGCGCTTACTGTCCCGTATGGCCTTTTTCAGCGTTTTCCTCGCTGCCTTGAATTCAAGGCGTCTTTGCTCCTGCGCGTCAGTGCCTCGAGCTCGCTGCAGGGATCTTCTAGCCCTTAGGTACTCCTTACGAAGAGCCGAGATATGGCTTCTCCACCACAGAGCTGGTTTGTGATGCCGAGCGAGCGCGCATGATGCGTAGGGCCGTAGCAAGCGCAGCCACCGAGTCGTTTGCTGTAGTGTGGAGATCGAGCTGAGCCCTCCGTACGTGGTTTGCCAGTTGTTGGACGTCTAGCGTGTCTTGTCGATACGCCTTGCCGCAGGGGGGAAGGCGCGAGGTCGCCCGGCTGATTCCGAGCGAGCAGAGTATGGCCTCGTGGTCACTGGCCGTGTAGATGTCGGCGATTCTCCACCCGTGCCAAACTACTGCTGACGAAGGTCAGGTCAATAATGGAACCGGCGCCTGCTCTATTGAAGGTTTCCAGGTCCAGGGGTGCTAGGATCTCCAGCAAGGCTCTGCCTCTAGCATTCGTGGTGGTACTCCCCCACTCCTGTGCCCACGCGTTAAAATCACCCGCTATTAGCACTGGGTGTTTGCCTCTGGCATCTACCGCTAGCTCCTCTAGAGCCTTGCAGTAAGCATCGAGGGAGAGGCTTGGGGCTAGGTAGCAGCTATACACCCATATACCTCCCCACTGGATTCTCACGAACCCTTACCTCTCCTCACTTGCCTTGGCCCTTCCGCGGAACCTTTCCAGATCCAGATGGCTGCCTTGCCCTGGTTGTTGGTCGACCACTCCTCGCCTGGACCGACGCTGTACGGCTCACTGAGAATGGCTTTGTCGGCATTCATCTCGCCTACGGTGCGTCGCAGACGGTCCTGCGCCGCTCTACAGTGATTCAGATTGAGCTGGATCACTTGCATCCTGCCCTATCTTTTACAGATCCATTGGAGTGCGGACACCGTCGACTTCCTGCGAGGTGTTTTGCCTCCTTCTCGCCTTTTTTTTCGAATTTTCGCCTCTTGGCGATCAACCCGAATTAAAGACCAGTGAAAGTGAAAGGACGTAACCTAGGTGGAAGCAAGAGAGCGGAAGACCAGTGCCGGAGAAACGGCACAAAAGGGCGCTGGCTCCGAACGGAGAAGCTTCGAATCGAACCGGCTCCTGGGCGCCAAACTGACTTATTCTTCCTTTCACAGTCGTAGGGTATCTTGCCGATCAACCCAGTACGGCGACTGGTGAGAGACGGAAGGGTCACCGCTGACGGTGGGGACGAGTGAACATAAGCAATGCAACACCGATGATCTGCTGAGAAACCGTTTTGTAGCCGCGTAATAGAAGCAGGCTACTCGAAGGCATTCAAATGCTGTAGAAAGGAGACAGTGTTTTAGAAAAGGTATTTGTATTATTACTGGACGCCGGCAGTCGCGCCAAATCAAATTTACTCGAACGCATCCGTAAACTCTGTGAGCTAAGCTGGACGGCTAGCCAATTATGTATATCTTTGCTACATATATTAATACATCGGTGCATTGCAATGTGAAAATTTAATTGTAGGTTTTTTCTAGAATTCCTTCCGTCATAAAAAAAAATAAATACATATACGAATATTTTAATAAGTACATTTTTTGAGTTTTGCAACTAAATTAAATGCTCAATTATAGTTACCAACGCTCGGTAACTATGCTCTAAAACTGCAAGCAACTCTTCTTTACTTCAAACAACTCTACTTTACTTCAATTGGTGGAGTCCAAGCTTTTAAGGCAGTTTTAACAATGTTGAAATACCGCTTACATTTAATTATACCATTTAAATAAATTTGACTCCTTCGTGGATAATTAAAAAGGTAAAACTTACTAATAATATATTTTTATATAGTGATCCAACCGAATTGGTAAAAAACCGACATCAGGCACGATCTGTAAGCAGTACGAAAAAAAATCATCCGTTTGCTCAATTTTTAAAATATGATCGACAAGTATTGAAATTTTCTGCATATTGGGATGACCGAACCGAATTTGGTGACGTAAGAAAGTTAGAACTATGTTACTATTTAGCTGATGATACTATAGAAATAAAAGAAGCACATATTCGAAATTCTGGTCGTGATGGGCCGACTGTTTTCCTAAAACGTGGCCGATTAGTAAGAGTAAGTAAAGATTGTATACTTTGTGAATATTGATTTTTAAATCTATTTGAGTTATAGGAATTTCAGGGACTATTACTCCCGGGTCAGGTAACACCAAAAACACTCCTAAATGTTCTTGGTACGAATATGCGTAACGTACGCTACTGCATTGATCCTCTTAATACGGGAAACAAGGAAATACATTATTATAATGAGCGTGATCTGCAAATTGGAAGTGTAATAAATGTTTATGGTCGAGCTGTAGTTATAACTGACCTTGATCCATATACTAGGAAATATTTTAGAAAGCGATTTGGTATTCAAGACTTTACGCCGTTAACGATTCCCAACAGATCTGACGATTGCGCAGAACACAAGTCCACTGAACGTTTGTTGCCTCCATTTAATGGATGGGGAAGCTATGAGGATTCAGTGGGAAATTGTTTATCCGTCGAGCCGAAGCCGCCTAAATCTGATTTTAAAAAGTTCATTAAGTTTGATCGCTACGTTTTACGCTTTGGTGCAAAGATGTTATCAACTGTAAAAGCAAATTGCGAGAGAATTTTTGTTATAAGTTACTATTTGTGTGATGACACGTTGCAAATTCAAGAGATTGCAGTTCGCAATTCAGGATTTCTAGGCGGTGAATTTATGAAACGCAAAAGGCTAGAGCTACCGGGGCAGGAAAAGTTTTCCTGCAAACAGCCACAGTACTACATGGCATGGAACTTTTTATTGGATCTACTATGGCCCTAAAAGATTTCATTTTTCATATAGTCTCTGCCGATGAATATACTTTAATGTACATGGAACATCACCCCGAAGAATTTTGTCATGCTAATGTTCTTGTTATTATGGAAAAAGTTACAAATTTCTTAAAGACGCGCATGGCTGATTTTATTGGTACCTGTGTGCCATCTTGTAACGACTTGGATGCAAAAACTGATATTTTTGTTTCATTTGAAAGTTTTAAGGGAGCTTTAATAAATGCATTGGGTAATCAAATAAGCGATCATGAGATAATTACGCTATGTCGTCATTTTTCTGCTGAGCAAACTTTACCACATAAATGTACCAGATCAAATGTACGAGCAGCTGCTCACCTTGAACTGAAGCGTTCTTTATGGAATGCACGGGATGATTTAATGGAACATTTTCATCATATAAACCCAAAAAATTTGCCTTTCTTACCAGAATCTAAAGTGCGGTCAACGCTTCGCGGTTGCCGATTGCCATTTTCAACTGAACTTATTGATAATATATTATCAATTTTAAACCGAAACGATTGTAATGACATAGAAATTTGTGACTTGATGAACTTTTTAGATGTTTCTTGTGGTAAGGGTTGCGATATGCCACCAGTAAACCACGCTTTCGAGCTGTGCCCAAAAATTCCGTTTTTACACAAAGGCCGGTCAGTTAACTTTACATGTTTCCTGCACTACTTGAATCTACCTCTTAACTTGCCAACTGGGATTAACAATGATAGCACTAAAGTAAACGACGATCGGATACTACCACCATCAGCTACAACAAAAACTAACGAACAGAAAGATGAAGACGTCCACAAAGATGATCACTTGATATAAAGAAATAAAATTTTGGAAAAATATAATTAAATTAACCGTGAGCACACTCAGGGTCGCTCGCTCTGTATTTAATTTTGTTTGTACCTGTATTCATCCAAGTAAAATAAAAATGTATAATAATCTAAAAATTTTTCTAAGAACTTTCAATAATAAAATCTTTCAAAAGCAATCTTCAAAAATTAATTTCGAGCTGGCCTCTAGACCCAAGCAAATCCAAAGATAACTTCGGAAAGATAACTTCAGGGAGCCAAAATGTATATACCTTTCGATACACCCTTTATAACAAATATTGGAGATAATCGGCCAATTTATTAGAATACAAAATTTAAAACAGTGGGGTCATTTCCGATCTTTAGGTTGTATGGCAGATATAGGATACATAAAATAATCAAACAAAAATGAAGACTCAAATAATTTATTAAGTTTTACCAATTATACACACTGATTCTGACAGAGCTCCTTCTTTTTTTGTTCTATTGTTCCTATATATAGTCACTTTGGATGATATGATTGTCGCAGCAAGATTCGTGATTATCCTTTACATGGGCAACGTGACCCACGTCATAAAGTTCGGCACACGGAACTAAGATTATGTTCTCTAGTCTCTGGTGTACTATTCTCCCGTCAATGGCTTCTCCTAGAACTTCCCAGAAGGGATCATAAAACACTTATATTCACCTATTATTATTTACCGAGCGAAGAGATATTTCGAACTTCTTACCTAAAATTTATTCAACCCACACAGAGAAACAATAAACTTTTTTTCGCTGCTGCGCCACTAATTCGACAGCGTTCTCAATGAGGTACGTATTGGTGTTATTACTCCACGTGTTGGAGCTTTGATTGACAAAGGACCGAGGAAAGTAGAGCACCGTGAGAAAGAACCTGTATGTCACACCTATCTACACCCGGTTGGGTAAGAAGGCGTGATGGGAGATCATAGTGAAGATGGACGCAACGCCGCGCTCGGGGAGTTACGTCCAACTCGTTTTAAAGACCGGCGAAAGTGAAAGGACGTAACCTAGGTGGAAGCAAGAGAGCGCCGGATCCGAACAGAGAAGCTTCGAATCGAACTGGCTCCTAGGCGTCAAGCTGACTCATTCTTCCCGTCACAGTCCTAGGGTATCTTGCCGATCAATCCAGTACGGTGACTGGTGAGAGACGGAAGGATCACCGCTGACGGTGGGGACGAGTGAACATAAGCAATGCAACACCGATGATCTGCTGAGAAACCGTTTTGTAGCCGCGTAATAGAAGCAGGGTACTCGAAGGCATTCAAATACTGTAGAAAGGAGACAGTGTTTTAGAAAAGGTATTTGTATTATTACTGGACGCCGGCAGTCGCGCCAAATCAAATTTACTCGAACGCATCCGTAAACTCTGTGAGCTAAGCTGGACGGCTAGCCAATTATATCTTTGCTACATATATTAATACATCGGTGCATTGCAATGTGAAAATTTAATTGTAGGTTTTTTCTAGAATTCCTTCCGTCATAAAAAAAATAAATACATATACGAATATTTTAATGAGTACATGTTTTGAGTTTTGCAACTAAATTTAATGCTCAATTATAGTTACCAACGCTCGGTAACTATGCTCTAAAACTGCAAGCAACTCTTCTTTACTTCAAACAACTCTACTTTACTTCAATTGGTGGAGTCCAAGCTTTTAAGGCAGTTATTATACCATTTAAATAAATTTGACTCCTTCGTGGATAATTAAAAAGGTAAAACTTACTAATAATATATTTTTATATAGTGATCCAACCGAATTGGTAAAAAACCGACATCAGGCACGATCTGTAAGCAGTACGAAAAAAATCATCCGTTTGCTCAATTTTTAAAATATGATCGACAAGTATTGAAATTTTCTGCATATTGGGATGACCGAACCGAATTTGGTGACGTAAGAAAGTTAGAACTATGTTACTATTTAGCTGATGATACTATAGAAATAAAAGAAGCACATATTCGAAATTCTGGTCGTGATGGGCCGACTGTTTTCCTAAAACGTGGCCGATTAGTAAGAGTAAGTAAAGATTGTATACTTTGTGAATATTGATTTTTAAATCTATTTGAGCTATAGAAATTTCAGGGACTATTACTATTACTTTTAGAAAGCGATTTGGTATTCAAGACTTTACGCCGTTAACGATTCCCAACAGATCTGACGATTGCGCAGAACACAAGTCCACTGAACGTTTGTTGCCTCCATTTAATGGATGGGGAAGCTATGAGGATTCAGTGGGAAATTGTTTATCCGTCGAGCCGAAGCCGCCTAAATCTGATTTTAAAAAGTTCATTAAGTTTGATCGCTACGTTTTACGCTTTGGTGCAAAGATGTTATCAACTGTAAAAGCAAATTGCGAGAGAATTTTTGTTATAAGTTACTATTTGTGTGATGACACGTTGCAAATTCAAGAGATTGCAGTTCGCAATTCAGGATTTCTAGGCGGTGAATTTATGAAACGCAAAAGGCTAGAGCTACCGGGGCAGGAAAAGTTTTCCTGCAAACAGCCACAGTACTACATGGCATGGAACTTTTTTATTGGATCTACTATGGCCCTAAAAGATTTCATTTTTCATATAGTCTCTGCCGATGAATATACTTTAATGTACATGGAACATCACCCCGAAGAACTTTGTCATGCTAATGTTCTTGTTATTATGGAAAAAGTTACAAATTTCTTAAAGACGCGCATGGCTGATTTTATTGGTACCTGTGTGCCATCTTGTAACGACTTGGATGCAAAAACTGATATTTTTGTTTCATTTAAAAGTTTTAAGGGAGCTTTAATAAATGCATTGGGTAATCAAATAAGCGATCATGAGATAATTACGCTATGTCGTCATTTTTCTGCTGAGCAAACTTTACCACATAAATGTACCAGATCAAATGTACGAGCAGCTGCTCACCTTGAACTGAAGCGTTCTTTATGGAATGAACGGGATGATTTAATGGAACATTTTCATTATATAAGCCCAAAAAATGTGCCTTTCTTACCAGAATCTAAAGTGCGGTCAACGCTTCGCGGTTGCCGATTGCCATTTTCAACTGAACTTATTGATAATATATTATCAATTTTAAACCGAAACGATTGTAATGACAGAAATTTGTGACCTGATGAACTTTTTAGATGTTTCTTATGGTAAGGGTTGCGATATGCCACCAGTAAACCACGCTTTCGAGCTGTCCCCAAAAATTCCGTTTTTACACAAAGGCCGGTCAGTTAACTTTACATGTTTCCTGCACTACTTGAATCTACCTCTTAACTTGCCAACTGGGATTAACAATGATAGCACTAAAGTAAACGACGATCGGATACTACCACCATCAGCTACAACAAAAACTAACGAACAGAAAGATGAAGACGTCCACAAAGATGATCACTTGATATAAAGAAATAAAATTTTGGAAAAATATAATTAAATTAACCGTGAGCACACTCGGGTCGCTCGCTCTGTATTTAATTTTGTTTGTACCTGTATTCATCCAAGTAAAATAAAAATGTATAATAATCTAAAAATTTTTCTAAGAACTTTCAATAATAAAATCTTTCAAAAGCAATCTTCAAAAATTAATTTCGAGCTGGCCTCTAGACCCAAGCAAATCCAAAGATAACTTCGGAAAGATAACTTCGGGCGGAGCCAAAATGTATATACCTTTCGATACACCCTTTATAACAAATATTGGAGATAATCGGCCAATTTATTAGAATACAAAATTTAAAACAGTGGGGTCATTTCCGATCTTTAGGTTGTATGGCAGCTATAGGATACATAAAATAATCAAACAAAAATGAAGACTCAAATAATTTATTAAGTTTTACCAATTATACACACTGATTCTGACAGAGCTCCTTCTTTTTTTGTTCTATTGTTCCTATATATAGTCACTTTGGATGATATGATTGTCGCAGCAAGATTCGTGATTATCCTTTACATGGGCAACGTGACCCACGTCATAAAGTTCGGCACACGGAACTAAGATTATGTTCTCTAGTCTCTGGTGTACTATTCTCCCGTCAATGGCTTCTCCTAGAATTTCCCAGAAGGGATCATAAAACACTTATATTCACCTATTATTATTTACCGAGCGAAGAGATATTTCGAACTTCTTACCTAAAATTTATTCAACCCACACAGAGAAACAATAAACTTTTTTTCGCTGCTGCGCCACTAATTCGACAGCGTTCTCAATGAGGTATTGGTGTTATTACTCCACGTGTTGGAGCTTTGATTGACAAAGGACCGAGGAAAGTAGAGCACCGTGAGAAAGAACCTGTATGTCACACCTATCTACACCCGGTTGGGTAAGAAGGCGTGATGGGAGATCATAGTGAAGATGGACGCAACGCCGCGCTCGGGGAGTTACGTCCAACTCGTTTTAAAGACCGGCGAAAGTGAAAGGACGTAACCTAGGTGGAAGCAAGAGAGCGCCGGATCCGAACAGAGAAGCTTCGAATCGAACTGGCTCCTAGGCGTCAAGCTGACTCATTCTTCCCGTCACAGTCCTAGGGTATCTTGCCGATCAATCCAGTACGGTGACTGGTGAGAGACGGAAGGATCACCGCTGACGGTGGGGACGAGTGAACATAAGCAATGCAACACCGATGATCTGCTGAGAAACCGTTTTGTAGCCGCGTAATAGAAGCAGGGTACTCGAAGGCATTCAAATACTGTAGAAAGGAGACAGTGTTTTAGAAAAGGTATTTGTATTATTACTGGACGCCGGCAGTCGCGCCAAATCAAATTTACTCGAACGCATCCGTAAACTCTGTGAGCTAAGCTGGACGGCTAGCCAATTATATCTTTGCTACATATATTAATACATCGGTGCATTGCAATGTGAAAATTTAATTGTAGGTTTTTTCTAGAATTCCTTCCGTCATAAAAAAATAAATACATATACGAATATTTTAATGAGTACATGTTTTGAGTTTTGCAACTAAATTTAATGCTCAATTATAGTTACCAACGCTCGGTAACTATGCTCTAAA